TCACTGAGTGGGTTTTTAGAAGGATGTGGCCAACAAAGGACACACAGTCTGCGTCCTACGAAGGATGTGGCCAACAAAGGGCACACTGTCGGCGTCTTACGAAGGATGTGGCCAACAAAGGGCACACAGTTTTCATCCTATGAAGGATGTAGCATGCACTGAACTGGGACACAGCTCATATTAATGTGGCTCTGTGGAACATATGTCTCTTCAGTTTAGCACCGTCATTTTGCACTTTAAAACTAACATTATTTTGGTTCTACACAAACGAGTTTTATTCACTTATTATGATTTAGGAAAACTGGACAAAATCCCACTAATTTCACTGCACGTGGTCACAATGGTAACTGGGTGCTGATAATACAGCTGCAGTAATGTGCAAAATGGCCAGTTATATTATCACCAAATACACTACTGCCTGGCCAAAATAAATAAGAAAGTGGCAGACTTTAATATTTCTTTGGACCACCTTTACCCTTGAGCCATTAATTTCTTGTCGAGATCTTGTATTGATGGCAGGTGAGTTGAACCGCTCTGTAAAGTCTTTTTCAGGACAAGGTCAAGACTCTTTGGTGACCAATTCATGGGTGAAAATGATTCCTCATGCACCTTGAACCGCTATTTGACACGTTGAGCCCAGTGAATCTTGGCATTATCATCCTGGTATATGTTCATGCCATCAGGAAAGAAAAATCCATTCATGGGATAACCTGGCCATTCAGGAGATTCAGGTGCTCAGTTGACCTCACTTTATTGCTGCATAACGTTGCTGAACTGTAATAATGATCCAATCATTGGCTCCTAAGTACTTGCCGATTTAAATTCAAATGGTAAATTCAAATCATAGTTCTGAAGGAGCTGATCTGAGTTAAAAAGTTTATTGACAAGCATCATTGGGTCCTTTGTAAGATAGTAACACTTTTGCAATAACATAAAATAACAAATATCTGTGTTTAGTATCCCTGTGGGAGCCAGTGACTCTAAATGCAATTAATAGCAAAACGATGAGAACAGAACTGAATGAGTCAGTCAAAAAATGTTATGACATTTAATAAAAATAAAATGTCTGTGTGGAAGATGTGCAGATATGTTACACGTTGCTTGTCAATGAACCTTTGTTATGAAGCCAAGAAATTTGCAACATTTTTGCAGAATTTAGCAAGATTTTCCTTGAGCACTGTATGTTCTGCTTTGAACTTTTTCTTGACAGTGATTATCTTTTCTCCTGCACATAATGGCCCCTCACTGTCCCCATTTTGCTTTGAGTGTTCTCCCTGTTTTGGTCTAGCAGACAGCACTTAAGGACCATTGACTCAGTAGGTTGTCATTTCCAGCCCTGTCGTGCCCCTTCGGATGATCTGCTTAAACTCAGTCATTCTGACAAGAACATTCAGCCGTATAAAGAAGCAAAAACCACACAGCAATTTGAATAAAAGCAACCGCTGAACAAAAAAAAAAATGCACCGAGTTGGAAACGACCGAGTGCCAGAACAGGCTGAGCTCCTGTTCTAAAAACCGTGGGATGCATTTTGCTTCTTCTTGCAGCAAAACGCTTATTCTTGCATCTTGTATAAGAGAACAGAGGGGCTCCTGTGTGTAAGGGATGAAACTTTCCCTAATTATGCAGGTTTGTCACTTGGC